ATATATGTAGGCTTTAGCGATAGCAAGTTTTCTGTCTTCATTCCAGTTATTAGCAGTAGCAGCTCATTCGAATTTATTAATCCAATCGATAGGATCCTCAGTACCATCTCCTCTAAATGGTTTAATCTTGATAAGAGATTTTTCTGCTCCTCCTCTTCCAATAGCTTTAGTTAACCAGGTTATTGCTTAAGCAGCTTGTTTCATGTTATCTATATTTGCTTCTTCTTCAGTATCTGAACTATCTGAATTTAGTATTTGTTTGGAAGCTGTTTGTTTGGGTAAGGATAAAAGACTTTGTTCAAATAAATTTGGCTGTTCAAAATAGTCTAAGTCTTCTTAAGAGAGATAATTGTAGGTAGTAGTTGTTTCAGGAATTTGAGGATAAAGTGAAGAATAAGTTGAAGTTGAACTAGAGATATCTGGAAGATCTGGGTAAAGGCGTTCTGGTAGTGAACTAGAGGTTTTAATTAGTGGATAAAGAGATTGATAGTTCTGCTTGAATAAATAGGTAGTTGTAGTAATTTCTTCATCTACAGTATATACTGGCGATACAGTAGTTTCTTCGATAATTGAGGCTTCAGTATTAACAGATTGAGTATCTTCTTGTTGAGTTCTAGAAGTTGAAGAAGATCTGGTTTAACAAGAGCTAATAGATGTTAAAGTTTTTAAAATCCTATTAATAAGTTAAGGTGGTGGAGTAGGTGATGAAGTTGCTTTTTCTAGGGTATTTTCTGAATTATCAGATAAGGTAAAAGATTCTTCTTGTCTTTCTAGTTGAGTAATAGGAGTAAAAGTTAAAGTAGAGGCAACAACAGGCTCTCCTATATTAATAACAGTATTAGAAGAAGATGGAGGTAAAACAGGAGTAATAATTTCTCCTAAGGTTTGTTGTTCTTCATCCTAATATAATGTTTGAATATAAGATTGAGCGGTAATAAGATTATCAATAAAAATATTGTAGTGGTTGATATAAGTATTGGAGGTTTTGCAAAGGTTATAGTAAGAGATATATTTTTGAAAAAGAAGTTGAGCAGTTTGTCAAGATGCAGGTACTGCTCTTTGGTATTGATGGCTAAAGATAATATTTCGAACAAGTATGCGAGCTATTGTTCGGTCTGCAGTAGCTAGTTTTTGAAAGTTAGAATAAATAGCTAGGCTATATGTTATAGCATTATAGGCTTGAGAATACCAATTCCAAAATTCACCAAAATATTCACGAGGAGTAAGTAATGTAGGATAACACTAGATACAAGTTAAATCAGGTGCAATAGATTGAATAACAGTAATAGCAAGTGAGAAGTTATCAATATAGGCTTGTCTGTGCTTTTAATATTATCTGAATAGTAATGAGTTAACAAATCTCCTATAAAATTAAAATATCTTTAAAGAAGATTAGTACAGTCAAACCTCTATAAATGCAACATGTACAAACCAGTCTAAAACATGCATTTAGGGAGGTTTGCATTTAGAGGGAGCCAATCAAATTGCAGCTTTTAATATTTGATCTGCAGACTCGTATAACAAACTTAAATACTGACTTCTGATTGGCTACGTGCACTTAAGAAGATTAGTATAATATAAAAAATCTTTTGAGTGAACGTGCATTTGCAGAATATAGAATATGCATTTAGTACTAATGATTTCATACAGCCAAGACAAAAACATGCATTTAGGGAGGTATTGCATTTATGGAGGTTGCATTTAGAGAGGTCCGACTGTAGTAACAAAACGATAAAATGATAAGAAAGTTAAATGAAATAAATAAAAGAAATAAAATAAATCGAAAGGGTTGCTAGCAAATGAAGTAAGAAAAAAAATTTACGAATAAAATAAAATAAAATAAAATAACTCGAGTAAAAATTCCAAAAATAAAATACAAGTATGACCAGCAAGAAAGTTAGTAGCAGTGGAAAGTGAAAATATAAACTCTGCGACAATACAATTCCAAAATACAATTTAATAAAATACAATACTAGTTAAGTTAGTAGAGAATATACCAAAAAAATAATAATTTCTAGGATGCTTTTTTTTCAATAGCTTCTGCTGCTTCAAGAGAGTTAAAATAGTTTCTGCAAGAAAGTTTCTTTCTAAAGAGAGGGAGAAAGAGAGGTTTGCTTTCAAGAAAGAGTAAATTTTGTTCCTCGCAAAATTTTATATTTCCACCAAGAGGCATCAAAATGTTACAAGGCTGTAGCTAGTGATGGGCAAATCTCGATTTTTTTAAAAATCTTGTGCGGGATCCATGCATGATCTGCGGGATTGAGTAAAGTTTTTGAATTTCTTATGAATAATAAAAATATATATAAAGATCATCACCATAAATATAATTTCTTGTTAAAATAATAATTATTTCTTATAAATCTTACTGTATTTATTATAAATAAAACATGCTTATATAGATTTTGCTTACTTTAAAACATATATAAAAATTTTTTATACAATTTAAGCTTAAAGTAATTGAATCTTATATTAAATTTATCAATTTAGATTTACCTTAATTTTATAAATAACGGTAAGAATACCAATGGCAAAAAATCAAATTTTTATTGTATTTATACTTAAATTAAGTAACACATAGGTATATATATAAATTATACAATATTAAAAATCTAAAGTTTAATTTTTCGTACAAAGATAATACGTAGTGCATGTTATTTGTATTATACAAAAATTTTATATCTAACAAAATTTAAAATTTATTTATATACACTATTATAAATAATTAAAAATTATCTCTCTAAAAAAAAAGATTAAAACCGCTAACTTTCAAAACTTCAATCATTTTATATGGAATGAGGATTGACTAACGTATTGAAGATAAGCTAAACTTAGTAGTAGTGCATATGTATAATACTAGTAATACCAGTCTAAAAAATTTTGCATATCATGTGATCTTATAAAAAATTTTTCACTAAAAAAAGGGTTGCAATTAGTTTAGAGTTAGGATCTTGCTGATAGATCATAGGTCAGCTTAGAGGATTACAATTATACCAAAATTTCGCAAAGAAAACTTTTTGTTAGTGAGTAGTAGACAGTTTTATAGACTAAATTTTGAGTGATAAGTGATTTTTGACAAAACAAATGTTTGTTTTGAATTTTCCTGATCATGTAACATTACACCTGATCTTGAAATTTGATTGGCTTGCGAAATTTTTTAAACTGGTATTTTAAAGTTATTGTGCAATTACTAATTAGAAATTTGTCCACTTATGTTAATGCAGGCTAGATAATATATTAATGTAGGCCAGATAATATGCTAACGCAAGCCAGATAATCTTATATTAAAAATCCTGCGCAGGATTTTTTAAATCCCATACATCATGCGCAGGATCCTGTGCAGAATCCTGCGCAGATCTCATATATTGTCTATCACTAGCTGTAGCCTTCTTAGTAAAATACAACCAAATAACAAGGTCACCTAGTATAGTGATTGACTATTGCAAATATATACGGGGTGGAGGTTTAGTTGTTTACTTAACTACACAGCAGCAGGCAAATAGTTCGAGATAGTAACGGTATATAGAATAACTTTATTTAATACAAGAATAGTGATAAGCCTTGCCTGTAGGAATTACTCTAGAGGAAGAATATCATATTTTACAAGGTAAGAAGGGTTAAAGGTTATCAGAGTCTAATTGAAGTGTAGGAACTTAAGATCTAGCAGGAAAGGAAAAAGACACTCTTTATATATCTTTTCTACCCAAGGCAAAAGTACACGACACACAGTAAAGAAGTAACACTTGGTAGGAAAAGTTGAAGGATTGTGCTAGAGGGAGTTGGGGGATTGTGTTAGAGAAAGTTGGGAAAATATAAATATTACTTATTTTGTTTATATTTTATTTATTGTTTGTGAAGGGGAGCTTGAGGAGGGGAACCTGGGGGATCCTGCGATACAGTACTAGGCTTGCGATGTGATAACTTGTGTTTGAAATACTTAAGTTCGTGTAGAGAATTCTGGGGGATTTCGTATAGAGGTACTTGAAAGAAATTGTGTTACTTTTTTGTGTTATCTTTTTGTGTAATCTAAAGTACTTCTTTGTGTAATCTTGTATTACTTCAGGTCACATAGATCATGTGACTGCACCATACATCTTTTTAGCCAATCAAATCATTCCTATACAATGACTATAAAATTACTATCTAATATATATAATAATATAATATAA